ACAGCATTGTAGTCTACTCTCCCAGGATCAGGAAACAGTCCTCCATAAAATGTGCTGCACACATCTGAATATTTGGGTTGAAGTGTTCTGGAACAGTGTTGTAAATACAACTTAACCACTGATTTCTAGTCGTGTCCACTTTTGGAAGGACAAACAAAGTAGTTTCACTTTCACAACGAAACACACAGCGTCTTCACAACATGGTGGCGGTTGGCAACAATACTACAGCGAGAATCAAAGTTATGCCTTCTTTCTTTGCGTATACATTTGGGCGGTGTTATGCAAATCTTCCCACACAGTGACGTAGACATGTTGGAGGCGTGTTTAAACGAGGCGTTTTAGGAGGGTGTTGACGAGTCTTTTTAAAGAATATCTCTTTAGGTTTGAGACTTTAGGCTTTGCAACTTTAGGGATTTTATCTATGCACGAACAGCTTGTAACACTCCAAAGAGAAAGGAAAACTTGAAATTGCATCATATGACCTCTTTAATAGAATTTTTACAGTGGTAATTGGTTATTGACAATAACAACACAATTTTTTGGTTATCAGTCGAAATCAGAATTTTATTTAGTGATTCCCAATTATACACTGTTTAATAACCTAATATTTACTGTATAACTAAATATATATTAACCATTTATTATATCTGTAATTTTATTGTTTATTGACAGTAACCGAAATAATTTCCTTGTAATCTTAATTGGCCAGAATTTTAATATCAATTAATCAATAATAACTGCAAAACTTATAATAACCGAATATTTACTGTATACTATTTAATAACCTGTTTTTTATTTTTTTTTATATTGGTTATTTTTGGTTCTTGGCAATAACATATTGAAATAATTTATTGGCTTATCAGCATTGCACAGAATATTATTGAATTCCTAATAACTATACACCTTGCAATACCAGATATTTACTGCATCATATAGTATTTAAGAATAGTCTAATATTCTTTTGTCTCCTCATTCTTCAACAGACTCCAAAAACCAAGCTCACAGTTTTCAAGTTGTGCAGCCTCTGTCTCTACCTGCCACAGGACCAGCTCACCTGTTGGGGGGTTGGAGACATCGAGGACCACCTCCGCCCATACATGCCTGACTAGGAGAAATGCACGGAAGACACCCCTCGAGGCCTCGAAGCAAGTTGACCTCATCTACACATCCCTCAGTTGAATAGATATGAACTTGTGCTTGGAACTCTCCTTTTTGTTAACCACTCATTTTCATCGTGAGATTTAATTTAGCTCCTTTTTTTAGTTTTAAATCCCTCCCTCAACCAGTCTTGGTTTGGCTCACCCCATCTCTCCTCTCTTTGATCAGTTTTTATTTAAACCTGCATGAACATTGATTTTGAGTGGTTGTTCTCTTGGAGCTGCACCGTCAACAATACCAGTCACCGAAGGAACTCTTTACGTTACGGAAAAAAAAAAAGGAAACCAATGACAGAGGTCTCTCACATGTGGTCCTCGTGTGTTGGACTGGCTTTAACATCACTTATGAGGGATAGTTAACATGTCTGTTATATTGAGTAGGGATTTCATGAGTAATGACAGTCAGTGACAGAGGACAAAAGAGCCTGGGTAGTCTTCCTCAAAAGGCTTCTATTACAAGGTGAACAACACTTGTTAACTCATTTGGTGTAGGCATTGCTTCTCATTCAGTTACTGCCTTAGTTTTTGCTGGACATTTTAATTTGAGTGTCATTCCTTGCCTATAATATGACAAACCTTGTTTGTTTTATCATTTCTGGAGGAGTGGTGCCTGATGGGGACGAAGGTGCGGTGTGTGATGTATATCTAAAATGGTTGACAAACTGTCTGTTGGAGGAATTCTGATGTGGTTTTTTTCTTGGGATAGTTGGGATGGTAATTGTCACCAGTTGAGCAACTCATGCACTAGATATACATACGAGCTACTGATACCGGATGTAATCATTGGTGGTGGGTATGTGATGGGAGACTGATGTTAAAGTTTATGTACCTAATGAGAAATTTCGTAGTGAAACTTGAAATGGATCATTACAGATTTGTCTTTCTTTTATAGACCACCCTGTTCTGAGAGTACTAAATATTGCAGTGCTTAGGACTTGGTATCTGTAAGCCATCTTTGTCCGTTCTTCAGGCATAAAAATCCTTTAAAAATATCTTTGAAATTCTGAGTTCACGTCGAAGGGGAAGGTGGGTCTTTGTCTTTACTTTGATGTACCCATTGTTTGAATAATTCTGTTGAAATAAACACTGCTGAATATATCCTAACACAGTGCAACGATTTTTATGTTGGGGTTTATTTTGTAACATAAAGAACAACATGTTTCATGTCAGTTACACGACATGTACATAATCAGCTACCGAGGTGTTTAGTGTGTCTTCCCTGAGCAATGGGTTTTCCATTCGCCTTGTTGGTGAGATCTACTGTTGCAAATGCCAACGTCCGTCCTTGTTTTAAAACCTGAGCTGTAATCAGGACGTCTTCTCCAATTTTAGCTGCATTCATGTATCTGTTAAATAGAAAGCAAACAAATTTGAGTCCATTTTAGATGATGAATGGGTGTCATTTTATTTTTTAATTGAGACTGGGACTATTTGTCACACTTATTTCTCTATTATTTCACTTTTATTCAACAACACAAAAAAAGCTATTGAACATTTCCGTCATTATTAACCAAGGGAAAAAATACAGTTGAACACTTTTGTGACAACGTGCCCCAATAGGTCACAGTAGCAACCTGACATCTAACAGCCTAATACAATTACGAGTACATATCATAAAATGGCAAAAATATGAAACCACTTTCCAATAAAGGTTATAAATAAATTTACAACTAGCCATTTGCCCTGAGCAAACAGTTAAACGTTTTGTCTAAGAGCTTACCTGCATTGCATAGTTGAATATGGTCTAAAAGTATGCTGTTGTGGTTTTGTGTTTTCACTTGTTTATACAACAGGGCCCCTATTCACAAAACATTTTATCTTACCACTAAGAGTTCTCCTAAATGGCAGTAAAAGTTAAGAGTTTTCTCTTAAAACCTATTCACAAAGCTGCTGAGACAAACTTTTAGTAAGGAATAGAGAGAAGTCTTAAGCTAAGAGTAAGGGGGCGGGGTTGACCTTGTTGCTATGGATGATGTCAGCATGCTTACTAACTGCACACAGTGATTGGCTGATAGTCTCCGTCAGAGATTTATTCATAGAAATATTGAAGAGTGCAATATTATGTTGCCATATTCAAATAAAGGTTTAAAAATAAAACTGCTAATTGCCACATTCAAATAAAGATTTTAAAATGCAGGCTAAGTGTCACTAATTAAACAAGTAGGCTATATGCCACAGCGCACCGGCAAATATAATAATTATGAATGTGTTAAGGGAAAACAGCAAGTACACTGCATTAATGTTTTGATAATTTGTTACACTAGTGTTTTCGGTTTAAGAGATGAAGTCGGCGACACGGACTCGTCGTCTCCGCAGTATGCGCCTGTATGCATGTTTCATACGGATTACATAATCTGAGAATATTTGTTTTCTATTTGAATTGGTTCATTTAAATTTTTCACTCTCTATAGATATATTTTTCATGTCTGTAATAAGGCAAGCATACACGGTAACACGGAGTTTCGAAGTGACGCGCTCAAGTTCACAGAGTCCGAGACGGTAGAAAGCCATCCTGTTTGCTTTCATTATTTTACAAAAGCTCAACGTTTCGTTGTTATTCTGAGTGCACACGAATAAACGTAGAGTCTTTACAGATACAAAGGATGCATTACTCTTATCTGTATGACAAAAAATTTGTATTTTAAGAGCCAATGATCGCACCGGCGCCTCCATCTGTCATGCAGTAGGCCAAGCGCATTGCTGTTCAGCTTCCACACTCCGCACTTTTTTTCTAGGCTAACATTAGATTGAGCTGCCATGTAAAGTTGCTACTACATACATATTTCAGATGATAAGCCATATTTGAGGTCGATGAATGTTAGGTGAGCATATGGATGTCCTGCCCGA